GATATTTAGATATTGCGCATTTCGCTTCAAAGTGAACTCCTGCGCTAAAACTAATACCACAAAATTTATTTCGCTCATGATAGAAAAAATAAATATAATAATTATCAAGGTTCTATTGCCAGTAGTGTTTTATATAAAAAAAAATGACCATAAAAGAACGATAACCCATAACCGATAACGATTGCAAAAGGTAGCACTTTCTTACATTGAAATGGAAAATATAAAAATTAATTGGACAGAGCGAAACATTATTTTGAGGGATTATTTTAAGTCTGCTTTGGTGCAAAATGCGTAATAATTCTTTAAACTTTATCATTAACTCCTTTGGTTTGTTTTTTCCATCGATCTTGTTTTCCGTGCTGAGCACCAATGCTACCGACGTGCCAGGAAGGCAGCTTCCACACCTGGACCCTACCTATCGACCCATCAACTCATGAACCGGGGACCAACGGCTTTACACACTTAATCTAGCTCGGTAAACTCTCCAACAGCCGATTACCTCAGCATTTACTTTTGCTGATATCTCTGCAAAATATCTTTTAGTTGGCTGATATCTCAGCAAAATCTAATTTGTTAGCTGAGTCTCGGCAATTGTTTTACTGAATCTCAGCAAAATAAGCTGCAGAACTGCTCGGCTGTTGGAATCTCGGCGAAAAAATTTAAGTGTGTACTTCCCATCCGAAGGAAGGCGTGATCAGAGATGTTATGCCTCAGAACATCCCGGCGGCGCCGATTGGGATTGAACCCAGGCCTGCTGGGGTGAGAGGTAATCACGCTTACCACTACACCACCGGCGCCGTTTTTATCATTACCTACACGGATAGAAAAAAATTCCTGATTTTGAGTTCTTTTTATCCAGGTTGGCAGTTCCGTGCCCCAACTCAATTTAGAGTTCTAGCGCCTACTCAATTTTGAGTTGTTTTCATTCACTCTCATGTAAACAGGATTACTTACTTTTAAGTTGTTTTCACTCAACGTCGAGTTCAAACTACTCAAAATTGAGTTTTACACAATTTACACAATTTAAACTTGGCGCACGGAACTGTTGTGTTTGGTGAATAGAACTCAATTTTGGGTTGTTTTGTTCTTTTCGTTTTTGAAAACAAGAAGAGTTTGTTCATGTGAGAGGCAGCAACTCAACAGTAAGTTTAAAGAACTCAACCGTTGGGTTGGGTTAGTTTTGGTTCTCCGTGTAACATCTCAGGAGTGCTGCTATCTAAAGAGCCTAAATTCATAAAGAGGCGACATCCCAACAAACATTGGAAGCGGAATAAGAGCTTATTCAGGCAAAAATATGCTTCTTCAGCTAAAAAATAGCTTATTCAGCTCTTAATCAGCACAAATTGTTTGTTGGGATGTCAAAATTGGAACAATCGATTGTCTGTCAAAGTCATAGGAAAAAGTCATTCCAAACGAGCAGTAGGCCTGTTAAATGGATAAGATGTTGTCTCTTTATAAATTCTGGCTCTTTATTCCTTTCGACTGAGCAAGGTATTGATAGCGTTCTTGTTAAAAAAAAAAACGTTGAAAAAAATGCAACACTTTTTGTGCATAACTTATTGTTGAATGGGTATAAATTGATGAAGTTTTGAGTAAAACTAGTTTACAGTGTAATGCTTACAAGTCCAAAATCTCGTCACAATATGTCAAGTGGTTGTCGAGATTAGAAATACTCAGAAGGCCCACGCACATTAGATCCGGATCGGACGCGTTGTGGTAAAGTGACAGCTAAATCTGTTGTCTAACTTTCAAATTTACGTCAACGCAACGCAAACGGATCTAATGTGGGTGGCCCTAGAGGGAGAGATGGGCGGAGAGAATGTTTTGAGCCAAATGAACTGTCAAAATCTGAGCCGAACGAGCATTCCAATTGGAATTTTCCCGATGGTTTATCCACAGACAAACAGACGTATCTCTTTGAAAAAGTTTTTCTTGAAAACATAGTATCTCAAATTGGAGGCGAACCAGCCCAAGGCTGAAAGCCTCCTTAATAAAGCTAAATAATAATAATAGTATCTCAAAACACAGGACCTCAGTAGCGACATCTCTCGGGCTTCTCGCGGAAAACTAGGTTGGTCGCTAACTCGCAAACAATATTGCATAAAAGTTCTATAGAATGTATAGAAACGTCAAAGTGATCCGATGCCAGTGCTGCGGCGAGTAGTTCGCGGAACTGATAATATTCAAATCAACCGTTAAATGCGTGAACGAAGATACTTCTTCTTCTTCTTCTTCTTCGCATTTCAAGCTTATTGCATATCGCATATTAGCTTATTGCGTGCCCTCAACTTAGTGTTCTAGATGCACTTCCACAGTTATTAATTGAGAGCTTTCGATGCCTGTACCATTTTTGCATTAGTATAATTGTGTGGCAAGTCCAATCATACTTCTATGCCCAGGGAAGTCGAGAAATTTTCCAACCCGAAAAATTCCTAGACCGGACCGGGAATCGAACCCAGCCACCTCCAGCATGGTCTTGCTTTGTAGCTGCGCCTCTACCGACTGAGCTAAGGGAGGCCCCACGAAGATACACAATGAACTGTTACGTCTGTTTGTCTGTGGTAAAACGCTGTCCAGACTGGAGAGCTATAACATGTTATAACGGTTGTCAACTAATTGCAACAAAGAAACCACCATCAAGATAGCGCTATTGGTCCCAAGCAAACGATTAACGTACCCTATTCTAGTCGAAATGCTAGTACTACGCAATGTTTGTTTTGATTCGCTATGAAAGTTTGACAGATAAAATGAGGGGTTATTGGTTTTTCCTATGTTTCGAGGGGTGATTCGACAAGCTTGGGACCGAAGATAGTACCAGAGGTGAGCCAAAAAGTTGAGCACGTTTCTTCGGGACCTACTTGTCTTAGAGTTACCTCTATGCTATTAGCATAGAGGTAACTCTAAGACCAGAAGGTCCTGAAGAAACGTGCTCAACTTTTTGGCTCAGCTCTGGTACTATCTTAGGTCCCAAGCTAATCGATTCACCCCTCGAAACGTAGGAAAATCCACTTGAACTTGATTTACTCAACACGCACCATACTTTAAAATGGTTTTAGATGGTCTTCAAAGTGATAACAAGATGAAAAATCATCTTTATTTTGAGTAATTGAGCAATTTACTTCTGTATACCATCATATTTACGATGCAGCATTGATGGAGCCGTGAAATGAAATTAATATATCTTATGAAAGTTCACCTGTAAAAGTCAAAGATGCACATCAGTCTGATCGTAAAAACGTTTTCTTCTTCAATTCGAATGTTATATTGGAAGGATTTCACGCAGGCTTGATGAAAATTATGATTTAATGCTAATTTTCACGAATTTTATATGCAGTCTGTCAACATTATCATCATCATGCAGTGGCGACATCTGCGTTGAGCTTTTGCGGCAATCTTCCAATAGTTAGCGTTGGTGCTCAGCACGGAAAACAAATCAAGAAAAAAAAGCTTCCGCACGGATAGAAATCTCCTTATACCTTTTGGCAAATTTCCATTGCTGATTATTCATAAAATGTATAAGTCAACTTATAAGCAGACGCCTTGCAAAAAGTTAATAAAGATCATGTGTCAAATGAAATGTATAAGCGGTCACACATACCTTTTATGCATTCTAATAGGACCTATGTGGTTTGTCTTATGGAATGTATAAGGCTGATGCTTTGGCAAAAATGTATAAGTGAAACACATGAATTTAATAATTGATTTTCGTTTCGTGCGCTACACGGCCCATGAGAGTAACTCAAAATTGAGTCGAATCAGGCTTGAAATTTACTCAGTGAATGAATTAAATTTTCCTCGAATTTTTAGGACAAACTTTTTAAATATGAAGAAAATCTAGATATATTTCACTTAGTCTATTAGTACACTCCCAGACCGATTAAAATTTTGGTTGATTTTCCGTCGATAGGATTAAGTATATGTTTAAAAAATAGTGAAATTTTTTAATCATAAATCATATTTCAAATCTCCTTTTCCCTCTCCCGATCCAAACAATTGTCATCCACTAACCTCGAGAAGATCGCGAGTAATCGGTTCAAATCCTTGTATTTTAGATTTAAGACATTTTATAATGTATAAAGAAAATGATGACTTGGCTCTGTAAAGTTTATTCGATTAAGCCTGTACAAATAAAGTAATTAACAAAAAAAAAAAAGCATTAATATTGAGCGGGGCATATTTGACCCATCTAACCCTAGATTTTTGCATCGAATTTTAATCGATTTGCGGTCTCCGAAAAAATGGTTCTGCATTGCTTCCTAAATCCAACATTAAGAACTGTGAGAATTTTTGTCGACCTGTTTTCCATTCTATCCTAACATACAAATTCTCCCATAAATCAAAATAGTAAACGAATTTGTTCAAATTTGGTAGCTTTTGAAGACCTGAACATAATTTGAAAGAGAAGTTGGGAACAAGGATCAAAATCTATGGATTAAGATTAGAGCATAGAAAATCATTTAAAAAAAAGTGTACAAAACAAAATACATTAGGCATTGTGTACACAGAGGGAGGGTGGTAGGTCTAAAATCTACACAATCTGTCTACACAGTTCGGATAGCCTTGTAGAACATAATCGATCCCAGATATCAAAATTTACCCTCCTACCAGGGTTGGTTGAGAGAAGTGCAGTATGGAAACACCAAATTCATCGTTGTGGGGTTTCTCCCATTCACTTGCTATAAAGATTATTTTTCGGAAGTATGTTCAAATTTTGCGTTCAGAGCGTCACAATCAGCGATATGATTCGTGAGCGCAGGTTTTCCTAAAAACAATTTTTTATAGCAAGTGCGTGGAAACAACCCTAGACTCCTACAATGCTGAATTTGGTGTTTCCAGACCCCACTTCTCTCGAGAAATTGCAATGGACCGATTGCTGTAGAACGGATGTTTCTTTCTAACATTGGGGAGAAACACTTTCATCTTACAGCCATCGGTCCATTGATAAATTTTACACTGTCAATAATATTCAAAGCCAATAATGTAAGATTCTTTTAAGCGAATTCCCTTTCGAAGGTTTATTTACAATAACCATTTTCAACTGGCAATCTAGAGAATTAATAGCACATTCAGCTCCACAAATCTGCAGGCGTTCAGCTAAAATTATAAAGATGGGTGACACCTAATCAAGCTCGTCTGCGGTCTATTCATCATCCGAAGGAATGCCAAGCTCGGCGTTGGTCCATTGCGTTGGATCCGGGTAAGCAAATTCTCCCTAAAATATTGAAGCAATAATGATTGTCTAGCAATTACCATTTCAACAACAAACCGTAATGTGCTCGTATTCATGGAACAGATGCCACAGCACCCACCACCACATCAGACCGCCGGCCACCTGAGCACCGACACGGGCTAGCATCTCCGGCTTCGGACCATTCATCCGGTACGACACACTGGAATTATGGAATAGCATTTTCAAAACAGTAAGGGAATATGTATTATTTGATTCGGGGAATCCGATCAAAATATAGTACCGATAATTACATAATGTTCCGCGAGGAACTTGCTTGTTCAAGGAAAAAACACCGTACTTACTCGTGTCCATGGCGCACGACTTGGTTGCGAACGGCCGCAGTGGTAGCCGGGGAACTGGCCGCACGTTGCAGCAATCGTCCCAGCAGCAGAGCACGGGAGGAAAGCATTATTTTTTCGGAAGATATTCACTCGGCACTTATTTGATTCCGTTCGCGACGATGAAAACGGCAGTGACAGACGATTGAGTGTATTTTTCTCGGTGTTTTTCTTCTTGTTTATAAAAAAAAAGTGACAGTTGACACTTCTGTGAATTCGGCACCCAGCACCTTTTTTTTACCACCTTTTTTAGTACCCATTTTTTCAGCTGCGGGTAGATTAGCGCACCGCAGCGCTGCCAAGTGGAAACTAGTGGCAGCTGTTTGAAAGTTGTGAACTCGGCACCCTTTTTTTTCCGAAGCTTCCTGTAGAGGTATTTATGTTCAATGATTGATGATCGATTTAGCTGATGATTGCCCACGATTTTGATGATGGTTTGTATGAAGCATATTTAGCTCAAGTCTAGTCCTATCCGGTGGCATTGCGATATTGGACGCAGCGCGTCAATGTTGGTACTTTTACCCTATGGTCTTAAAGAGGTATTTACGTTCAATGATTGATGATCGATTTAGCTGATGATTGCCCACGATTTTGATGATGGTTTGTATGGAGCATATTTAGCTCAAGTCTAGTCCTATCCGGTGGCATTGCGATATTGGACGCAGCGCGTCAATTTTGGTACTTTTAATCTATGACCTTATAGAGGTATTTACGTTCAATGATTGATGATCGATTTAGCTGATGATTGCCCACGATTTTGATGATGGTTTGTATGAAGCATATTTAGCTCAAGTCTAGTCCTATCCGGTGGTATTGCGATATTGGACGCAGCGCGTCAATTTTGGTGACCTTATAGAGGTATTTACGTTCAATGATTGATGATCGATTTAGCTGATGATTGCCCACGATTTTGATGATGGTTTGTATGGAGCATATTTAGCTCAAGTCTAGTCCTATCCGGTGGCATTGCGATATTGGACGCAGCGCGTCAATTTTGGTACTTTTACCCTATGACCTTATAGAGGTATTTACGTTCAATGATTGATGATCGATTTAGCTGATGATTGCCCACGATTTTGATGATGGTTTGTATGGAGCATATTTAGCTCAAGTCTAGTCCTATCCGGTGGCATTGCGATATTGGACGCAGCACGTCAATTTTGGTACTTTTACTTCGACGGTGACTCTGTAGCAGCTCTTTACTCGTTAAAATCCAACAAGCAAACGTCAGACTGTGCGTGATATACAAGGTGGACTTTGTAGTATCCTTTCACTTCCTTTGTTATTCTATCACATTAGCGTACATCTGTATCGATCAGGGCTCGTGCAAAAGATTATGGACCGTATACGAAGAAAAGTTCGAGCGATTGGCGAGGAAGACTCGAGCAATGGTCTTAGAATTAGCATAATACCTACACAGCAAAAAAAGTTGTTGAATATTACATCGAAACAGCTGCACATAGGTCAATCCATCGGTTGTGTAATATTACGATGAGTGATGTACTCAAGGGCCTTTGATACAATACAAAAGACCGACGTAATTTTCCCGATGTAATAAATTTGACGTACACGAAGCGATATACACAATTGGATGTAATGGCAAACTTTATGAAATTTGTATTTTTTTAAAGTTCGAGGGAGTATCATTGAAGCTCAGATAATTTCATAGAAGTGAGAGGCTTTTCTTTATGAAAGTGATCAATTGCGGTTTAGAACTATATTGAACACATATATTTTCTCTTCCATCTTTCCTGACCTGCGATACCTCGTGCGATACTCATTCTTTCCCTGATCCCTTCGTTTCTCTCTAACTTCCAAAAACTATCCATTCACCTCTTCATACTTTACCGTTAATAACGACAAAGGCGGACTGCCATCGCCCTCGCTCTGACGTCACTGTTCAACTACCGGGAGAACGTCTGAAATGTTCGTCCATCTTGGTCCGGTCCATACTCGAGAGAATTGGCCCACCACTCGCCTCCGTGGTGCCTATCGGTCCCTAGCACTTCTGGCCCACCGCACGAAATCGGTGCCATCCGATCGAACAAACGGGATGCTTTCTGATGTTCTAAAAACGGTTTTACACACGCACTGTCCGCCGTATTTATCGAAAACGGCGATGATCAGCTGGCCATACAAGACTACTCACAATATATGAAAGAAACCTTGGAACGGACCGAAAAAAGAGACCATTTGAAGAAATTCCCGGTGCTTTTACTGGCCACAAAACAGTATTTCGTTTTCTGCAATAACAATGGTGGCTCGATTGGTGGTTCGTCGTCTCAAACGTCAGTTCGATCCGCATCAGAGCGAAAAAGCTGGCAGTGTTGCGAGATGTAATATCGCGTAGTAATTATCTGTCATATCGCATAATATTAGTGTAATATTACACAACTATTTGTTGAATGATCTATGTGCAGCTGTTTCTGTGTAATAATTATGTTAGTTCTATGTGAATATTACACACATGCGACGGAATGAAAAATAGTCAATTTGTTTCGGTGTAATTCGAAGAGCGACATAATATTACATAGAATTGGTGTTAATTTATATGCAAATTCTCACAATTACATCTACTTTCATGATCCGTTAGCATCATTACGTTGAGGCATATTACTTTTTTTTGCTGTGTACTAAATATAGCTGTTACATTGAACTATGAAAAATAAAACGCATTTTTAAACTTCAACAATATTTTCGTGTCCGGATTCAACCTTTAGTAACCTATAATCAACCGAATCTTTTTTTTTTTTTTCCTCCGGCAACAACACCGATCCGGAGTGGATCGAGAAGACCAACACCAACATCGAGAGCACTCCCAAGAAAATCAACTCGGCCCAAACGCTTCGCTCCTACATCGATCAGGTGCTCAAACAGGCCGCCGAAGACATTCGCCATCAGGTGGAACGAACCAATGCAGCTTACAGCAAACGAATCGCCGAAGTCCGGTACACCAAAATCAAGCTGGAGAACGTACACAAGGAAACTGTCCACCAGGTTAACGAGCTGACGCGTACTGACACCAAGTTGGAGAAGGAGATTGCCGAGAAAGAGGGTTACGTCTCCCTAGCACAGGTGCGCATGGCGAACCGAGCCCATCGGCCCGGGATTGAACTATGCAAGGATAACGTTTACAATAGCCTGAAAAAGGAGTTGGCGGCGCTGCGGGAAACAGTCTCCAAGCTGGATCAGATGTTGGTGCAGTCCAGGGTCACGCTGAGATATCTGCTCAATACGCAGGTGATGCAAGAAGAGGAGATCAATTTGAAAACGAACTCGCTGAAGATCGACGAAGTGGACTGTATGACACTGAGAGAGAGTTTGAATTTTCAGAATTTCTAGTTTTCCGGAAGTATGATGATACCAGTGATAGTCACACTTCGGGTTTGGTAAGGTGCACAAGAATTTCTTGTGTGTCTACAAATAAATCGAACCGTGTTTTGCAACCGACAGTCTTTTGTTTTTTTTTATGGATTTATTTACCTATTGGAGTTTTGATTATAAAAGTCAGCAGTTTAGACCTTCAAATATATAATAATAAAACGGTTTTTTTTTAGCTTTTTACCGACGTCGATTGATCTCGGATTGTATATGCGGTCCGAAATAAGTGGGTTGAATTATAATTGATTTTGTAATTAGGAAAGTGTTTAATTTCATTAGGATTCCTAGATTACACTAAATTGAATTACATGGACTATCACTTAGAGAACGTACATAAAAGCTTAATACCGGTCACAGGCCACAGCTACAGCACAGAGTGCCAGACATTTCGATCGTCTTCATGCGTTCTGCCTTGCGCTTGAATTGCGCCAGCTCTTCCTGCAGCCGCTTGGTTTTGTAGGCTTCCGCTTCCAGAGAGCTCGTCTTCTCCGCTACCACCTGCTGGGCTTCCTTCATCTGGGCGTGATACCTTTCGAGGTGCAGCTTCAGGTCGGCCGCGGACTGGGCAAATTCGATGGCTTTCCGTTTGTGCATTTCCATTGCCTGTTGGCGGGCTACCAGCTCCTTCTCTATCGTTGTGATGATGTTTTGCAGGATGAGTTCCTTTTCCTCTAGCGTAGCACGTAGCACGACATGCATCGCTTCGATCTGACTGTCGCGAGTTGTTACCTGGTGGGTGGGAAGAGGATTGTTTCATTGAGGGTTTAGAAATTCACTCGAAGAAATTCTCGTTTACCATATTTTCCTTACAAAAAACTGTGTTTGTATGTAAAATACGGTTCGAACGAAAACAAATCTTACTCAGAGAATGAGTCACTTTTACTCATTCGTATGGAGAAATTACTAAACGCGTAGGTCACTTTTAGCGCTGAGTTACCTACGCTTTTACAAATTTCTCCATACGAATGAATAAAGACTCACTCTCTGAGTAAGATGCGTTTTCAGTGTGGGTAAGGGGCTGTTCATTAACTACGTAGACAGTTTTTTTGACCCCCCCCCCTCACCCACGTAGACAATTGTCCATACAAAAGTTTAAAAATTGTATGAATTGTGAACAATTGCCAATCCCCCCCCCCCCGTCTAAACTGTCTACGTAGTTTATGAACAGCCCCTAATTAGCTTTCAATAATTACAATCGAATTTTTTACTTGATCCTCCAGCACTTGGTTTTCCTCGCGCAGAAGTTTGTACATCTGGTTGACTTTTATCCGATCCGACATCAGCTTGAAGTTGGCATCGTCCTTTTTCCGCAGCTGCTGAATTAACCTGTAAAACATTCATGTTGGCTTCCATATTATAAATATAAAGTTAAATGCTATTCTTACCTGCGGCACCCTTCAGTGGCAGATTAGTATCTTCACAGCTGTAGTTTTGTCTGCCGCCAGGGATGTTTTCAGAGATATCCTCGGGGAGGTCTTCAGAGATACCTTGAATGTCCTCATGTATGTTATCAGGGCTGTCCTCGAGGCTGTCCTTCAAAAATTCGACTGAATCTAAAAGATAACGAAAATAAAACAGAGAGAATAGAAAGTTTTTGTTAAATATACGCTTACAAACGGATAAACTTACTTTCAATGACACTCAGATCTTCATCAGCTTCTTTTGAAACAGACGACTTCAACTGTATGTCACTCTTCATCAGGATCTTGTTCTCAGTATCATCCGCCTCCAATAGCACCTTCAGAGCAGGTGAACTTTCTGGACAAACAGCATCAAAAGCACGCCGTTTGGAGAGCATGGACCAAAGTATGGACGCAACCGACTCCAAACCACTAGGATGCTTCATAACAACATGCCGCGTAAAACTATACATTCCAGTTCCAGTTCTCTGCGGTATCGGCGGTTGCTGAGAGTTTAGTTGTTTTTCCGATAAAAGTGCACAACGGACACGTAATCTCCGCTCGATACTGTCCCTGGCAACGGTACACAGCGATGGTAAAATTTGACTGAAGTGATCGAAGTGATGATATTTCCTACGAAACAGAAAATAATAATTTTAATTATTAATAAAATTTAATTTAATACCGGAGGTTTAACATTATTCTTTTTCAAGTCTGATAGCTAACTACCACCCCTATTCTGTATTTCGTTCGAAACGAAATTCCTATACAAAAAAATATTTGAAAAACAAGAATAAGGGTGATTGTATGAGCCCACACCTCCCCAGAGGTTTCAACTACATTTGCTTGGAGTTTAGGATGATCAGGACCAAGTATCAAGGTTGATCAAAACAATTTGTATCCCTGCTTCACAGGGAAGTTTGATCACATGGGCATTTTGTGTGGTCGGTGGTTCTGAATATGGACAAACAGGCAGATGAATTCTATTCCTACTCTTTACTGTAATAAGCTTGGTGGCCCTGAAAAGAGCCGTTTTGTCTCCAATGTTGGTGATGATTTAACCTCTGAAACCAAACAGAGTGCGTCTCTGTCACTTCAAAAACGTAGATGACATCCATGGCCGCTTACGCTTGGCGTGTTTAGTGTAGGTGACAGCATCACAGATCTCATTTTTCAGGAACACCTTCAGCACACCTCGTAAATCAAACCGGAGATACGTCAGACACCGCCACGGCGAGCCAGACGACGGATGGTGGTTATCTCGAAGAATTTGCGTTTGGTTCTGAACATGGCGATGAGTGTGTAAAATATTACGCAATTCCATCCTCCCTATTCACACGCGCCCGAGGATCGGAGGCGAATGCCACTTCGACTTGTTTCGTCTACTTACTACTCTCTGACGACTGTGCTGGGGAAGCAGCATATGCATGTAGGTAATTGGTGGATTTGTTAGTTAATTCGACGCTTTTGGACAATGCTGAACATTTACCAGTTTTTCAATAGTTTCTTGTTGAAAATCAACATTTGGAAGCATTGTTATCAATGGGTAGCCATATTTCTTATCGATTGGTGGTAAAATTATTGAAATTGGACCAGGGGTAGCTGAGTTATTAACGTTCAAAATCTTTCTTAATTTGTTACATGTTCCATTTTCGTTTTTCACAAAGTGTACCCCCATATAGAAATCAAAGACGTAGTCCTACGTCAATAACCATAAACGAACGATAACCCAAATAATTGAACTTTTCCACTAATGGTTTGGAAGATACCCAGAACACGTCGTTAAGCAAAATAACCATAACAATCCCCCTTATTCTGCGAGTCACGTGACTCTCTGTCACCGGTGAGGTGACAATTGTCACCTCGTGTGAGGTGACTCTCCATGTAAATCAAATGGAGAGTCACCTCACACGAGGTGACTATTATCACCTCACCGGTGAGAGAGAGTCACGTGACTCGCAGAATAAGGGGGAATTTTATTAGGGTAGGTACACAGCAAAAAAAGTTGTTGAATATTACATCGAAACTGCTGCAACCAGGTCAATCCATCGGTTGTGTAATATCACATTGTACGATGTACATCGATTTTGCGAACAAAATTACATCCATTGATGTAATATTGTATCTGCTTTTTGCTATTACATCATTATTTCATACATCAGCTTGAATTACGTTGATCGATATTACATTTTTTGTTGCTGTGTATGTTGCCAAATGGCAACACTCCCCCTTATTCTGCGCCGCGAGTGAGGTGAGGTGACTCGCTGTCACTAGTGAGGTGACAAAAGTCACTGCGAGTGAGGTGACTCTCCGTGCAAATAAAATGGTTGGTCTTCTCGATCCACTCCGGATCGGTGTTGTTGCCGGAGGAAAAAAAAAAAAAAGATTCGGTTGATTATAGGTTACTAAAGGTTGAATCCGGACACGAAAATATTGTTGAAGTTTAAAAATGCGTTTTATTTTTCATAGTTCAATGTAACAGCTATATTTAGTACACAGCAAAAAAAAGTAATATGCCTCAACGTAATGATGCTAACGGATCATGAAAGTAGATGTAATTGTGAGAATTTGCATATAAATTAACACCAATTCTATGTAATATTATGTCGCTCTTCGAATTACACCGAAACAAATTGACTATTTTTCATTCCGTCGCATGTGTGTAATATTCACATAGAACTAACATAATTATTACACAGAAACAGCTGCACATAGATCATTCAACAAATAGTTGTGTAATATTACACTAATATTATGCGATATGACAGATAATTACTACGCGATATTACATCTCGCAACACTGCCAGCTTTTTCGCTCTGATGCGGATCGAACTGACGTTTGAGACGACGAACCACCAATCGAGCCACCATTGTTATTGCAGAAAACGAAATACTGTTTTGTGGCCAGTAAAAGCACCGGGAATTTCTTCAAATGGTCTCTTTTTTCGGTCCGTTCCAAGGTTTCTTTCATATATTGTGAGTAGTCTTGTATGGCCAGCTGATCATCGCCATTTTCGATAAATACGGCGGACAGTGCGTGTGTAAAACCGTTTTTAGAACATCAGAAAGCATCCCGTTTGTTCGATCGGATGGCACCGATTTCGTGCGGTGGGCCAGAAGTGCTAGGGACCGATAGGCACCACGGAGGCGAGTGGTGGGCCAATTCTCTCGAGTATGGACCGGACCAAGATGGACGAACATTTCAGACGTTCTCCCGGTAGTTGAACAGTGACGTCAGAGCGAGGGCGATGGCAGTCCGCCTTTGTCGTTATTAACGGTAAAGTATGAAGAGGTGAATGAATCGTTGTTGGAAGTTAGAGAGAAACGAAGGGATCAGGGAAAGAATGAGTATCGCACGAGGTATCGCAGGTCAGGAAAGATGGAAGAGAAAATATATGTGTTCAATATAGTTCTAAACCGCAATTGATCACTTTCATAAAGAAAAGCCTCTCACTTCTATGAAATTATCCGAGCTTCAATGATACTCCCTCGAACTTTAAAAAAATACAAATTTCATAAAGTTTGCCATTACATCCAATTGTGTACATCGCTTCGTGAACGTCAAATTTATTACATCGGGAAAATTACGTCGGTCTTTTGTATTGTATCAAAGGCCCTTGAGTACATCACTCATCGTAATATTACACAACCGATGGATTGACCTATGTGCAGCTGTTTCGATGTAATATTCAACAACTTTTTTTGCTGTGTAGGTATTATGCTAATTCTAAGACCATTGCTCGAGTCTTCCTCGCCAATCGCTCGAACTTTTCTTCGTATACGGTCCATAATCTTTTGCACGAGCCCTGATCGATACAGATGTACGCTAATGTGATAGAATAACAAAGGAAGTGAAAGGATACTGCAAAGTCCACCTTGTATATCACGCACAGTCTGACGTTTGCTTGTTGGATTTTAACGAGTAAAGAGCTGCTACAGAGTCACCGTCGAAGTAAAAGTACCATAATTGACCATAATTGCGTCCATATGAAAGTACCATAATTGCGTCCAATATCGCAATGCCACCGGATAGGACTAGACTTGAGCTAAATATGCTCCATCCAAACCATCGTCAAAATCGTGGGCAATCATCAGCTAAATCGATCATTAATCATTGAACGTAAATACCTCTACAGGAAGCTTCGGAAAAAAGGGTGCCGAGTTCACAACTATCCAACAGCTGCCACTAGTTTACACTTGGCGGCGCTGCGGTGCGCTAATCTACCCGCAGCTGAAAAAATGGGTGCTAAAAAAAGGTGGTAAAAAAAAGGATGCTGGAAAAACTGCACGGTAAGAAAAAAGTACCCAACGGCCAGTTCACTTTTACCTACTTTTGACTAGTTTGTCTCATTTTCTCCTTCTAATGTTGTCAAAAAAGAAGGAGCAAAACCACCCAACAGGGGTAGTAAAGTGTGGGAACCCAACGTTGGGTATAATCATATTTACCTACTGTTGGGTACAACTAACTTACTTTTGGTTAAAAAGCTAGTGGAAAATTCCATACGAACTGCACACAAGTAAATTGGCAAATCAAAGTTGGCACTCGTGGAGAATAGAAGAACTATGAAAGTGATGATGGTTTCAAAATTTTACACGGTGAGGTATACGAGTTCAATCTTAAAATGCCTTTATTTTGCAAATGGAGCATTTTATTTAATTCTGGTTAATGCTACGCTAGTAGAAAACTTAAGGACTACTTAATAGACACATAATATAGAAAAATAATTTCTTTTCAGATTTTTAGGTGTAGACATAGATTTCAGCTTTTCTACAACTGTAGCAGCAACCAGAATTAAATAAAATGCTCAATTTGCAAAATAAAAGCATTTTAAGATTGCATTTGTATACCTCCCCGTGGAAAATTTTGAAACCATCATCACTTTCATAGTTCTTCTATTCTCCACGAGTGCCAACTTTGATTTGCCAATCAAAATTACTTTGACCCGCTTTACCTACTTTTGGGTTCCTGCACTATAGTGCCGAGATGAGTGAAAAGAACTTAATTTTGGGTTCTTTTTTCTAACCGTGTGGGTGCCGAATTCACAGAAGTACAGTTCAAGGTGACTACATATAGGTGTTCTAATGTGTCAAATTTATGATTCAGCCATGTTGGATTTTTGTATGGGACAGCGACCGAGTTTGTTTACGATTTGCTCTAAAACCGCACTTTTCCCCCCCACGACCTCCTCGCCTATATAGTGACAAAGCTGTATCACCATTTATATACCCACCATGGTACAGTTGACGCTGTTGACAGATTCATTCGCTCCACTCTGGTGGCGAAGGAGAGAAGCTCCAGAACATGATGGATCGCACAAGAGGGGCATCTGGCGGTGAATGGATATGAAAACAATGAAATTATTCGATATGTCCGGTAAAGAGTGGGGTGGTGCTAATGGAATTGATTATTAAATTCAAAAACTGTTTGTAGCAGTATACCAGCTACAAAGCAAGATCATGCTGCAGGTGGCTGGGTTCGATTCCCGGTCTGGTCGTCTGGGTACACATTAACGGGACAGGCCAAGTAGGATACAAAAAGATTCCAAGTATCAACACTGGCCACTCCAAGATGCAGCAACAAATACAACTGCAGTTTTGTGCTTTGATCAGAAATGTGATGATACTTTGTATGATCATTCATGTCGGTTTGTCGGTGATTACACTTTTTTTTACCAGGTGAATCTTTGTCATTGACTAAAAATGAATGATATTTTGACAAAGGTTTTTTTTTTTGAGGATCAAGTCTACCAGTGACTATGTGAAAATACCATTTTGGCAATATCTCGCGGAAGTCTGTCAATTAAAAATCTCAACACTGCCTAGAGCACCGCAACGCAGGCGTTATGATTATTTTGCAGACATTGTTCCCGATTTCATGATTTTTATTCATGCTGTACTTTCGTAAACGAAAAGTTTGTTTGTTCCGAAATTCGTGACTTGAGGATGCCGAATTTCGGAACGGGTTTTTTTCTTCCGTGTACAGCTAAGGGAAACAATTTTCTCAAATTTGTACAATACAGTGCTGTGACAGGTTGTATTGGCTACCAAAAGCAAAATTAAAAGCACCGAGAAATGTTAATCCAAGTTATTAACAAAAGAGAAAATCGCCTAAGAGAATCGATCATTGCTTTAAAGGGTGTATTCGATAAAAGTGGCATACCGAAAATTTTCTGTAACTTTTGAACAGTATGAGGTTAAAAAAAAACCTGAAAATTTGAGTAAATATTGTTCAAAGTGTATAGTTTACATCTGTCAGGTTTCAAAGTTATTCATACAGTAGTTCCAGTCAAGTCGTCAAAACAAGAAAATGTCAGTAAACATTTTTTGAGCACTTACAATCAAAATACAGAGGCGTCCAACCGATGGATCGCTAAAAAGCTTGGAATTGCAAATACAACTCTAGATAGAGCTGGAATTAGTGCCTAACAGCTTTTGTAACATTCAAAGTGTTTTTATGTACTTCATACGCAAAGTTAGCGTTTTCAGAGTTGGTTGGAAATGCTAACATGAAGCTTTTAGCAACAATCAATACGAAACTAACGATTTTAAATTGGCTCACCACTTTAGTAGCCTATTGGTCCCAAGCAAACGATTAACGTACCCTATTCTAGTTGAAATTCTATTACTACACTATGTTTGTTTTGATTCGCTATGAAAGTTTGACAGATAACATCAGGGGTGTGTGGATTCATGCAGAACATGCAGGGGTGAGTGAAATAGCTTGGGACTGCTTGGGACCGTTGTTCTGGTACTGAGTGAGCCAAAAATAATAATGATTTTCTTCGGGACCCAGTGGTCTTAGAGTTACCTCTATGCTTTTAGTGTGATAATTTATTAGCTAGAGAATGATCTTTTGAAGAGGGTAGGTGGATAGTTCCGTTGGAGTACGGCAGTATGAAAATTCAATAGAAGTTGAAAATGAGCGAAGGGCCATTAATGCGACAGTTTTTGAAATCAGACGCACATCTTTTGCCTAACCCGTACGATGTACGCGGAGACTCATTGTTTTGTAAACAATGACTTCTCTTGATGACTTCTAAAAATTCAAGGCTCGCCCACGCAAACCAATATCCTCATCGGGTAGATAAAGACTTCCCCTTACCGTTAGTTAGGTTAGTCTGCGTAGACGTGCCTTGAATCCCTAGAAATCATCGATAGAAGTCATTGTTTACAAAAGCTGTTACGCCCTAATTCCAGCTCTATCTAGAACTGTGTCTCGTGTGATAAGAACATTCAAGGAGCGTCTGAGTGCCCGAAGGTAGGAAGGAAGAGAGTGGCTGTAAAAGTGGTCCAATGGACAGTACAATGACCATGAAAGTGGTGCAGCAGTCCAAGAACCGTCCAAACATGTCAATTCGAGTTATCGCTAAATAGTCCAAGATGTCCGTCGGTTTAGTGCAGAAAACCATGCTGTAAGCGTGCTGGGTTACATGATTACAAGATGCAAAAAGCCCCAAACCGAAATGAAAAGCAAAACATCACTGCGAAAACCCATGCTCGGAAACTTTATACAAAGTTGCTCACCAAATAGTGTTGCATCGTGATGGACGACGAAACTTCCGTCAAGGCCGACTTCCGCCAACTTCCTGGGCAAGAATATTTCGTTGCCAAGTCTAAGTCCGATGTTCCGGAGGATGTTCGAAAGAAGAAATTATCGCATACTCTAACAGACAATACATTGGATTGAGCACCTCATGCGGACCATTCTCGAGAAACGCCACCGTAATCCAGACCTTCTTCCCCTCGGAAGATGATGTACAGCCTTCGCCGTAGTTCGTAAGCTGGTAGGTGCCTGAGTTGGTGGTAAGAGTCTTCAATCAAAGTTTTCCCGGTCAGCATAATCTTGATATGGATGCGAGGTGCTGGAATTAACTAAGCTTCCATCAGAAGAACCGTTCGTAGGATCGTGGAACTCCGTAGACAGCTTTTCTACCCTTCAGTGCACCAGGCCGTGAGTCTTCAAATGTAGTTTTTTTACTGTTATGATCTACCAAGAACCACTGCCCAGTTGCCGTTGAACCCGTTTTCCCCAATGATTTGTTCCGTATAATTGGCGATGATAACACCGTATTAGTATAGAGGTAACTCTAAGACTAGTAGGTCCCGAAGAAAAGTGCTCAAGTTTTTGGCTCAGCTCTGGTACTATCTTCGGTTCCAAGCTAATCGATGCACCCCTCGAAAATCCACGAACCCCTCATATTATCTGTCAAACTTTCATGGCTAATCAAAACAAACATTGTGTAGTACTAGAATGTCGACTAGAATGGGATACGTTAATCGATTTGCTTGGGACCAATAGGCTAGTCAAGTAGTGAGCCAATTTGAAATCGTTAGTTTCGTATTGATTGTTGGTATTAGTGCAGATCTCGGGGTAAATTATAAGTATAAGTGCAAGAAAACCTTTGATTTTACCCAAAGTTCTGCACTAAACTTGAGTAATTCACAAACGTCAGAGAAGTCCATACGATTGCAGAGGGATCTGTCATTTTCAGCGTTGTGGAAATCATGGTTGCCAGTAAACATTGTATGGTGCCACTTAACGTTTTGACAGCTCGTTCGACACAGAAACACCCTGAAACACACAAGAAACACTACCAGCACAGTCACAAGTGACCTGCCACTACACTCGAAACGTGTTGGAGTGGTACCGACCTCTGTACCGAGCCAACGGAGTCAAGTTTGTGCCAAAATATATGAGCCCACCAAATTCATATGAACCAATTGAAACATTCTGGGCAATTATGAAGACGTAACTTTGTAAACAGCTGGAGTTGAAAAAAATTTAGGTAAAAACAACAAACTGGGAAAATCGGTTGCACAAAATTTAATGGGTGAAGTGAAAAGGAAAGTGTGGGCATTCGGGATAGGACACAACATTGAATTTAAACAAATTTTGTAAACCATAACTGATTAGTAGCATAGAGGTAACTGTTAGTAGTTTTTCATTCCCTGAAAATTTCAAGAAAATCTGATAATCAATTTTATGTTGGTGAGTAAATATGTGTGTCCAATTTTTTTTTTCGAATACACCCTTTATGAAAGCTCACTGTCGAATTACTTTTATTCACCGATTGCCCGCGGATAAGGACTCATTCAGACAAACCGACACCTGGTAGAGGAAGTTTGCTCAATCAGGATGGGGTAGTTAGTTTGCGTGGGTGTGTCGTTATTCGTGAGCCATCGACGTTTAAAGTAATTGTTTACGTTTGGTTCATATGACCAAAATAGTGTGTCGAATGTTAGTTAAATAAATTCTGTTGATTTTAGGAAATACACATCATCCAGGAAGCAAAACCAAACCATAAAATGAGATGAGATAGGCCTATGAAAGCATTATTAACTGCAATCAACTCAGAAGAAGGTCGAACCCGAAAAGATTAAAGAAAGTAAACAACTGCAAAAAAAAAATAATAAAAGCGACCAGGCTCCAAAATCAAACATTCAGTAATCCACTGCTTGCCTATCTGAAACAACGTTCATCCGAATTCTTCGATTCGAAACAATCGGTAAGCCCCAATCAGTTTGCCCTCAATACATGCTCCATTTCATTTACTTTCGTTTATTTTAGCTTGAAGATGAAATTTCTATGGCTTCTGACGTTCCTGCTGGCCATCTTGGGAACAGCGCTGGCCAACACCGCGGCCTGCCCAAAGGGATTCTCTCGCCAGGCCAACCAATGCGTTTCCAAACGTCCCGTCCACGGCGAATGCCCCAAAGCATCAAAGTTCAACGCGGGACTGAATTTGTGCGTGCATAACTGAGACTTGTGCTTTCGAATGGAACCTTCACGAACATGAAGGTTAGGATCGTGTTTGATCGTTAGGGTTATGGGAGGTGGCATATATCAGAGTGTTTCAATGGTGTGTTATTGGTGGGTATACGGTGGAAGCAAGTTTTTGAAATGAAGGACATGAATTAAGTTCAGACAGGGCAATCATTTGAATTGATGTTAATCCGAAATTCTCTTAGGGAACATCCATTAAGTACGTCGCACTCTAAGGGGGGGGGGGAGAGGGGGTTTATAAATGTATGACGATAAACAATGCATTAGGTATAGGATAAATCAGGGCTGTGGAGTCGGAGTCGGATTCGTGGACACGGTGTCGTGAAGTCGGAGACGGGGTCGGACACATTTTTGAGCATAAGGACTCGGAATCGGAGTCGAAAAAAAAGTACCGGCTCTGACTCCGACTCCGGATGTTATTAATAATTACCACAAGTTAGAATAGTGGAATAACTTGTAGCTTTTTTGAACTCATGAATCATTATCATGATCAATTTCCCCTTTCGACTCTCGGTTAAGTGGATTCACATGCAAGGCCACATGAAACTACATACATTTGCCATAATGGTGGCTACTTATCTCTTTGAACAACAGAAACTTTTGATTTGGAAGTTGTGAACTTTCCGTATAGCTTGCTGCCAATTTCCATAAAGATATTTCAGCCATTTTCATTAGAAGTCGCTGAATTCTTGTTAAAAATTGTGATAAATTTCGTACTTAATATTGTGGCCAAATTTTTTAAATAATTTGAATCAAAAAATTATCGGCATTCCAATTGAAGTTGACATTTGAAAGAGGGGACTTTTCCGGTAATTTTGACACTTTAACTTCAAGCTTTCATCGGGAGCTAGGAACATTTTTTCTCGATATTTCCCATACAAAAGGACTGCAAAAAGTCCACAAAAATGATCTGAAAATTCTTAAAATCTCATAGGGTATATGTCCCTAACCTCGATCTAATATGAAGGCTTCAATTACATTTTATGTCGTATCTTATGTAAAGATTGAGCTGCAGTCGATATTTCACTGTGAACATGTAAGCTTAGATATTCTTATTATTTGGATATTCCCAACAAACAATTTCAGTTGCAGACTAGCTTATACAGGTAAAAATTGGCTGTGTAAGCCATTTTTTGCCTGTTTAAGCTTATCTGCAGCTAAAATTGTTAGTTGAGTTGATTAGGCACGACTGAAAATTGTTTAATCTCAGAGTTGGTTGGAAATGCTAACATGAAGCTTTAGTGTGATGATTTATTAGCTAGAGAATGATCTTTAGAAGAGTGTAGGTGGATAGTTCCGTTAGAGTACGGCAGTATGAAAATTGAATAGAAGTTGAAAATGAGCGAAGGGCCATTAAAGCGACAGTTTTCAAGATAGACGCACATTTTTGCCTAGCCCGTACGATGTACGCGGGGACTTGAAGTATGTCTCCAAGTCCACAGGCAAAAATGTGCGTCCCTCTTGTTGCTCATAAACTGACTGCGGCTGTGGAATAGTTCTAGCGACGTTTTCATCACTACCTAAAGCCCCACGTCGCGAGAGCATTTCCAGTCGATGGTGTGTTATAATGCAGTTCTTCTTTACCCAACTATTGTGTTGCTCCTCTCGTCATGACCAACGTGATCATCTCAGAGAGAAAGCAGTAGGGTGGTTGTTGCGTGCTGTACCATCATCAGCATTGTTGAAAATCGTTAACTTCGCGTATGAAGTAACATAAAAAAACACTTTGAATGTAACAACTCAAGGCGGGAGTAGCCGTCAACAATGCTGATGATGGTACAGCACGCAACAACCACCCTACTGCTTTCTCTCTGAGATGATCACGTTGGTCATGACGAGAGGAGCAACACAATAGTTGGGTAAAGAAGAACTGCATTATAACACACCATCGACTGGAAATGCTCTCGCGACGTGGGGCTTTAGGTAGTGATGAAAACGTCGCTAGAACTATTCCACAGCCGCAGTCAGTTTATGAGCAACAAGAGGGACGCACATTTTTGCCTGTGGACTTGGAGACATACTTCAAGTCCCCGCGTACATCGTACGGGCTAGGCAAAAATATGCGTCTATCTTGAAAACTGTCGCTTTAATGGCCCTTCGCTCATTTTCAACTTCTATTCAATTTTCATACTGCCGTACTCTAACGGAACTATCCACCTACACTCTTCTAAAGATCATTCTCTAGCTAATAAATCATCACACCAAAGCTTCATGTTAGCATTTCCAACCAACTCTGAAAATCGTTAACTTCGCGTATGAAGTAACATAAAAAAACACTTTGAATGTTTAATCTCACCATTTTAACATGAAAACATTCCAGGTACGTGGATGTAATGTTGATCTATTGTACTCAAATTGGGTCTATAAATGGATGTAACTTCGTCCTATCGAAGATGCACCTCGGTCTACAAAGGATCGGCATGTAGAATCGCATTTGTTGGCATTGTTGACGTCACTTTCACTTCTCGCGTAAGAACTGATGAGGATGAAAGCAAGGGGGACGAAAGCAATCTGTTCTACATTTGTTTTAACGAATTTCAATAAAATTTGCTCAATTTTCTCGAATTTGTTTTGAATAAATTCGATTCGTTTTGAATTAACACGCGTCTTTCGATATTATCCGATTTCATTCACTATTCATAGATAATCTTCAATGTGTTAGAATTATTGAGCATTATGCTGATATTCTATTTAGTGTGTAGCATGATGTGAACTGTCACTTCCTGAGCACCTGCTTTTGTGATTGTTTCAAACCCTTCAAGCTTCAAGTTCCAACTCTGGAAGCAATGAAAATATCTGCACGGAGGGTTGGTGACCTAATTGACTACCGGCATTGATGGCCAAACGTGACCAAACCATAGACGCCGTTGATGCCATATGCCAGGATTGTCCAAATCGTAGTCCATGATCTTGAAACGACTATATCCAAGGCAAAGATGAATGCAGTTTCTTTTGACGTAGGATTACGTCTTTCGGCAACATATTGGGGGTGCAATTTCAAAAAAACCAAAATCGTTCGCGGAACGAAAATAGGTCAGGTTTTGACCACATATACCACTGTCAATAGCAGATGAATTTTAATTCTAAACAAGCCAAAGAATTGGGAATTTATCTACCAATCTGCTAAATTGAACACTTTATTAATTTTCAATAGGTTACTATTGAAAAATACACAAATGTCCAACTGTTGCAATGGTGATCAAAATTATCACCGATTACCTGCAAACATTGCATTCCCTAACACAGATTTAAAAATCGAATTCGATCCTGTCTCACTGAACGGTGCTCATTCAATCACCGTGTGTGGTGGTGTCCGGTCGACGGTGTTCGCAGCAGCAGCATCAGTAGCAGCAGTGCTTTCGGCGTGTGGCGTTGAACATCGTTATCCTGTACACCACGAAATGCATCCTGAAAGCAGCGAGCATCCATAGAAGGAAGAAGAAGCCGTACCGCGATCGAAATCAGTTTCCTCGTGAGAAGCTGTGGGTCATCAATGCCTAGCGCGTCAACCTTGCTCCAAACAATAAACAGATCGCCAGCCTCATCCGTGCTGAACACCCTAATAGCTCAGCATTACTCAACCATCACGACTAAACGGTCCTTTTCAGGACCAGCACAAAACTGTTAAAGAGTATTATTTGGACATTTGTCAAGGTCATCAGTTCCCGCAACCAGCTCAACCTGTCTATAGAAGGTGTGGAATTGTAGGCCTGATTGTATTGGTGAGATTAATCATATCGTCCGGCCATTTTCCAGAGACGGAGCTGTTCCGCTGGTAAAAATCCACATGTAGAATTTGAAAGAAGTGGAAATAATTCGTTTTAGGTGCATATTCAGGTAAAAAAGTGAACGACAAGTTAAATTTATTAGTCAGGGACAAAATACTGTTTAATATAAATGATTTTTCTTCATACAGTTTTACCTGCTTTACTACCAATCCTCAGAAAGCCAAAAAATATTCAAATTTGTGAGAAAATTAGCTCTCACGAGCTCAATCTCTCAATTGCCATGCTTTTATCACAAACGAAGTGACAGACGACTAACTGGCGAAGAAATCAATTTAAATAATGTGGTTCACTGTAATAGAATTTTCTTGGAAGCTTGTGCCATCATCCACCAGATGGGTTAGTTTTTTTGTTTTGATTTGAACAAAGTTGATTTTATGTACAATGATTCTTTGACAGTGTGCAAAGAGTGCGTATCATTTTGTCATTTTTTTATGCATTTCAGTTTTGAATAGAGTGAAAGAGATAGAACCAAAACATTCTAATACATTTGGTGAAAATGCTAGTACAATCCAGTAGTAGTGTTGCCATGTGGTACAATCCAGTAGTAGTGGTGTTGCCATGTGGTACACTGAAAAATTGAAATAGCAGGTTAGTCACCAAAGTTTTCGAGCCGCTCCGTCTGTCACTTCGTTTGTGCTTTTATGACACCCAATTTGTGATTTCCTTTCATAGATTACAAAATAGAGTAGGGTAGAGAACTACTTCGGTCTAATAGCTATTTTTAGCCTATCGAGCAGAAAACTTCAAATAAATCCATGATTTTAGAGTTAACAAGTCAATTAGGCGTTTTGTACGATAATTTAGTTAATAAGCTACCGAATAAAGTCAATGAAAACGCGTGATATGAAGGTTTGCACCCATAATTCCCACAAACAAAAGAAGTTCTCCGACCGAATCAATTTTTTTTTTCTTTATCCGATAGGCCGAAGTGAATTCATTGGCGGTTTCAATGCGTAAGGTCGAGTTTAGAATCCGTAGGCCGAGTTTGGCGTCAAGAAGCAGTGTTAGACTTATAACAATATCTAAACAATTTGTTTCTCTATATCAAATTTTACGGTACGTACATAAACGTAAATAAATTTGGAAGCCATCAGTAATAATAACATTCCGTTTGATGCTAAACTGCGCTAGATTAAGAAAGACTAAGTGCGGGTTGTGCTTAATAAGCCGGAAATGGGGTAGTGAACCCTATCTGACAGTACAAAACATGTCTGGTACTGCATTTAGATTAACATTCTAAGTCCCTCCTTTTTTACATATTCTGTTAAAACGCTACTTTCTGCCCCGCCCCATTCATACAATTCGGAAGGAAATCCTGAGAGGGGTGAGCTATTTTGAGTGCAGAATGTGTAAAAAAGGAGG